ATGCTTCTTCCCAACGAGGGTTTAATTGAAAATCGCTCCGTATGTTCCCAGCACTGTGTCTGATGATGAGCCATTGCCTCATCCCCATCGCTGATGGCATTTATGGGGTGTCAGGACCAGCCCCCACATGTTTCTTCTGCTCTGCTTCTTGGGCACCCCTTCTCCTTGTGCTGTCCCTGTGCCTCAGTTTTTCCATTGGGGACCCCCTCTCCACGCACTCTCCATGCCTCACTTTTCCCATTGAGAACCGCCTCTCCATGCACTGTTTCTCTGGCTCAGTTTCTCCATCGTTTGCCCCCTCTCTGTGCACTCCATACCTCAGTTTTCCCATTATGGACCCCTTCTCCAAGCACTGTTCCCATGCCTCAGTTTTCCCATTGAAGACCCCCTCTCCATTGAGGACCCCCTTCTCATGCACTGCCCCTGTGCCTCGGTTTCCCCATTGGAGACCCGCTCTCCGTGCTCTGTCCCTCTGTTTCCTCATTTGGGACCCCTTCTCCAACCACTGTCCCTATGCCTCAGTTTCCCCATTGGAGACCCCCTCTCTGCGCACTGTTTCTGTGCCTCAGTTTCCCCACCGGGGACCCCCTCTCTGCGCACTTTCCCCGTGCCTCAGTTTCCCCATCATGCCTCACGGTGCCAGCAGGGTTATGGGGCCACGTCCACCCCCCAGCCCTCCTCCCGTTGTCCCCGGCAGCGCAGGCGTCCCCGCGCTGGTGACACTGATGGGCTGTGACACGGCGGGAGGTGCTGGCTGCCCGCGCGGCGGCGCGCCGCCCGTCTCCTGCCCGCAAGGTAATCGAGGTGGAATATTTGATCGGCCGGGAAATGAGCTGCTAAATTTGTTGTGAGATTGGTGTCACAAGCAATCGCGGCGGTGCTCGGCGGCCAGTGGGAACGCGGCGGGGGGCAGCAGCGAGGGGACACCGCGTGGTGGCACAGCTGGTGGCACTCCTCTGCATGGAGGGAGCACAGCCAGCCCGGAGCAGAGGTGTTCCCCACCATGGAGGTGTCCCCAATGTGGAGGTGTCCCCAATGTGGAGGTGTCCCCATTGTGGAGGTGTCCCCCACCATGGAGGTGTCCCCATCATGGAGGTGTCCCCCATCATGGAGGCGTCCCCATCATGGAGGTGTCCCCAATGTGGAGGTGTCCCCATTGTGGAGGTGTCCCCCACCATGGAGGTGTCCCCATCATGGAGGTGTCCCCAAGGTGGAGATATTCCCAGTGCAGTGATGTCCCCCACTGGATATATCACCAATGTGGAGATGTCTCCAACACAGTGATGTCCCTGATATGGAGGTGATTCTATGTCCCCTAGTGCACTGATATCCCCAGCTGCAGTGATGTCCCCGAGGCAGCGATGTCCCCACTGCAGTGATGTCCCCAGTGTGTGCCCCATGGAGATGCCCTGAGGGTGGCACAACCAAGGTTACAGTGGCCAGGGCATGGGGAGGACAGCGGGGACCCAGAGTGCCCAAAGGTGATGGGGAGGAGGGGAACCCATCTCCTTCTCATTTGTTTTTATAATTTTGCCTTTTAAAAAATGAAAATAACTGGAGCATCCCTTCCCTGGAGAGCTGTGCCACCACCAGAAGAGGGAAGGGGGGAGAGGCACAGAGCGGCCCCCACCACTCTGTGCCAAGGGACACCCCGGGGCCACCCCCCCCTGGGGATGGCAGTGAGCAGCCGGGAGGACGCGGCCTCATCCCTGCCATCGCCCTGGTGCCTCCCAGCCCGGCGCTGGGCGAATGCCAGAGCTGTGCTGCCGTCATCGGGTGGCAGAGAAATAGTTTCCGATGCTGCGGGACGGGAGCGGAGGGAGCTGTGAGGGGGACGGAGGTGGAGACAGGGAGAGGGATTGAGGGTGGGGATGGGATCAGGAATGGAGATGGGGACAGGGATGGAGATGGGGATGGGGATGCTGGCGCAGGGGGTAGCCGCTGCGAGATTCAATTACGGAGGAATTAAAAGGTAGTAATATTCAATTAATGTCAATCAGAGACGGATTAGAGAGAGGAGATGTTGTCCGAGGGGTTGGTTGGGTTTTGGCGGGGTTGGACGTGGGGCTGATAAAGGAGCTAGCTAGGGGACGCAGTGGGGCTTTGACCCTAAACGGTCCATCTGGCACTGAGATCCCCACACCCCACGCCGTGTCCCCACATCCTCGTGCCGCATCCCAGAGTCCCCATCCCCTCCGCCTGCCTCTGGCCGCTTTAGCGTTAAGCGAAGGGGAAGAAGGAGAGGAAAATAGAAGAGGGCATTGAGTGACTTCAAACACGGAGCGGAAGCGGCTCCTCCTGCCAAGATGCTTTCAGAGCGCGCAGCTCGTGCCGTGCCGGGCCGCGCTGTCGTGCTGCGGTAATCGCGGCGGAGCAGCCTCATAAATTGTGGATGGCAACGGGGACCCTCTGTAGCAAACACCACTCTGCTGGCTGTGAGCTGCAGGCGAGCTCTGCCGGGCTGGGATCGTGCCCGTGTCCCCATCCCACTGCCGCTGTGTGACGTGGGGACACAGCGTGAGCTGCCCGAGGGCATCCCCAAAACACAGAGAGCCCCCATCCATGCGCCTTTCCCCGCTCCCTCCTTGTGTTTGGGGCTCCAGGTGCTGGGACACGCTGGGGGTTGTGTCCTTGAGGCCACCGCTACCAGCCCACGTCCCTGCCCAGCTTTAGCGAAAAGCCCCAAATTGCCAGAGCTGAAAATAGCTCCCGCTCAGCAGATGGGGCGGGAGGACAGGGAAGTGCCAGCCTCGATCACGTCTCCGCCGCTGCGTCCCCGCCAGGCACAGCACCCGCCTGGGCAGGATGGCACCCGCAGGCCATGGTCACATCCCTGGTCTGGGGACGCGGTGACATCGCTCGGGGCTGAGCTCAGCCCCAGCCTGGGTTTCCTCGCAGTGTGGCCTCAGCGCCGTGTGGAGCATTTTGGGGCCGGCTGCAGCGCTTGCGCTTTTTTCCATCCCATTGCCTCGTGCTGGGTGACAAGTGGCTGCGGGTGGTGACAGCGCAGTGACAGCACTGGGAGAGGAGACAGGGATGGGGACGGGGTCAGGAATGGAGAGATGGGGTCAGAGATGGGGACGGGGACATGGGTGGGGATAGGGATGGGGTCAGGGATGGGGACGGGGATGGGGATGGATGGGGACAGGGATGGGGATGTGGGGACGGATAGGGACAGGGCGATGGCCCCCTTGTGCCTCTCCCTTTCCGCTTGGTTCCAGGGCCACAAGGCACCAAATCCTCTTTTCTCTCCCTCAGAATAAAACCCGCAGAGGGTTTCTTTTTTTT